ATGATGTGAAGTCAATCTCATCAAGGTGGTTGTTTACGATTGGTATGTCAGATCCATCAGCACCACATACAAGTATTAACATATACAAAAAGAAACAAAGGTGTAAAGGACTTTAAAGGTGCTTGTATACCGTCAGGATGAAAAACTTTAACAAACTAAATGTATTTAAAAAATAGAATTTTATTACATATAGTAAAATGGAACATACACACCCTCCAATAAAATCAGGTAAGAAAATGAACCCTTCAGTACAGTGAACCAAATTTCACACCTTCCCTTTTCTAATAATACCCAACCATGACTGAAAGGCCACCAGTGTAACAAACATCAATACGGGAAGGTGATATGATGGTAAATTCCAATGCGTTTTGCCGAGCTGGCTTCTTCAGGGGTTGGCAAAACGCGTTGGGATTTCAGAACCCCTGAAGAAGCCAACTTGGCAAAACGCGTTGGGATTTACCATCATATCACCTTCCCGTATTGATATTTGTGGTTATGCACATCATCCCATGCTCAGGTTTTCCAATGATACCAGATCAAAATAATAAGAATCCAGAAAGTTTTAAAATCAACCAAGATGTTTTGGAGACTGAAAATCTCCCCCTACCCCCTTCATCCAGGTTTAGGATCTAGTAAGATCCAAGGTTTCCGTTAACATTGGCTCCATTAATTAAAGGAACTGTTGCCACTGCCAATAACTCAGGTTTTACTGGTAGAGGTTTTATATATGCAAAGCAACATAATATCTTTCCATCAGCCCAGACTAAATTTTTAACGGATTCTAAGCCCTGAGGATACAAGGTTTTTAGCACCTGAAATACGTTGGTCCGTTTTTATTGTCAACCACTAAAGCCATTGGACTATTTTCCAATTTTGGTCTTTTGTTATTTTAAAGGGTTAGTTCTCCTTTTTACGAAGAAAGAAAAGGTGAACCAACTCCAAGTGTCCTAGCCACCCCCTCTGGACACAGCCAGGGATTGAGTATCTATCTTAATGGTCTCAATTGCAAGCATTCCTAGGTCCACAACCAAAAAGAAGCACATCTGGGGCTTCTTCTTCTGGTAAGGACTCCCAGAAGAAAGAAGTGCTTCTCATTGGTCAGCATAGTAATGTGGCCGCACTGACTAATAAGCAGTGTGATGGATATTCACTCTGGGACTATGTATTGCGGTGTACAGCAGAATGGGGCATCACAACTGTTATGTTCATTGAAGGTCCAGAGGGGTGACCAGGATATTTTAACTTTTTCATTTTTCATGAAAAGGTGAACTTATCCTTTAAGCTTTGAGATAAAAAATACTCTGACAAGGATTTTAACCCCTCTCTACTGCTTCCAAAACTAAAAAAAAAAAAAAAAAACTTTAGCTGCCTGTATTTCAGAATACTACTAGATACTTTCATATTAGAACATGACTTCAGCTGCCTATGTTTGACCTATTGATCATTTTGACAATTATTCTTGGTTTTGCCATATGCTTAGATTGAATATCTTGGGTTTATACAAGGTTTACCTTAAAGCAAACCTGTCAAACATGACCTTACTAAAGAAAACGTGCACAAAATGGGCATGACCCAATATTATATACGGTTGTGTTCAAAATAATAGTCAGACATCACTAACCTGATCAATCACTGTTTTTGGTAGAAATTATATTTCTACATGGCAAATAATTTACTAGCAGGTGTAGTAGAGTAATAGAAATCCAACAGACCCAACAGTCATGACATGCATGCTGCTGATTCTGTGTAATTGAATCACTAATTGAAAGGGGCATGTTCAAAATAATAGCAGTGTGGAGTTCTATTAGTGAGGTCATTCATTCTTTGAAAAACAGGTGGCAAATATTGCCCTTATTTAAGGAAGGAAGGCAGCAAATGTTGTACATGCTGGTTACAGTGCATTTCTCTCTGAAATTCTGAGGAAAATGGGTCGTTTTAGACATTGTTCAGAAGAACAGCATACCTTGATTAAACAGTTGATTGGAGAGGGGAAAACATATAAAGAAGTGCAGAAAACGATAGGCTGCTCAGCTAAAATGATAGCAAATGCTTTAAAATGGCAACTAAAACTTGAAAGATGTGGAAGAAAGCGAAAAACTACCATTCGAATGGATAGAATAACAGCCAAAATGGCGCGGACTCAGCCAACAATCAGCTCCAGGAAGATGAAAGAAGGTGTAAAGTTCCCTGTGAGGACTGTTACAATTAGAAGACGCCTATGTGAAGCCAAGCTATCTGCAAGAAGCCCCCACAAAGTCCCACTGTTGAAAAAAAGACATGTGCTGAAGAGGTTACAATTTGCCAAAGAGCACATTGACTGGCCTAAAGAGAAATGGCGCAACATTTTGTGGACTGATGAAAGTAAGATTGTTCTTTTTGGGTCTAGTGGCCGGAGACAGTTTGTCAGACGACCCCCAAACACTGAATTCAAGCCAGAGTACACGGTGAAGACAGTGAAGCATGGTGGTGCAAGCATCATGATATGGGGATGTTTCACATACTATGGTGTTGGGCCTATTTATCGCATACCAGGGATCATGGATCAGTTTGAATACATCAGAATACTTGAAGAGGTCATGCTGCCTTATGCTGAAGAGGAAATGCCCTTGAAATGGGTGTTCCAACAAGACAACGACCCCAAACACACCAGTAAACGTGCAACATCTTGGTTCCAGACCAACAAGATTGACGTTATGGAGTGGCCAGCCCAATCCCCGGATCTTAATCCAATAGAAAACTTGTGGGGTGACATCAAAAATGCAGTTTCTGAGGCAAAACCAAGAAATAGAGAAGAACTGTGGAATGTAGTCCAATCATCCTGGGCTGGAATACCTGATCACAGGGCCAGAAGTTGGGTGACTCCATGCAACACAGATGTACAGCAGTTCTCAGAAACAGTGCGACTACAACCAAATATTCATTAAGTGATTCAAAGGAAAGCAAAATCTTCAAACATTTTTCAGTTTATATAGTGAATGTTTGAGTTTATAAAGAAGAATACAAACACTGCTATTTTTTTGAACAGTCTAATATTCACTTTTCTTCAATGTTTTTAGAGGAACAACACAAATTTGATCTCTTTTTTCTTCATGTTTTGATTTGGAATAGAATGTGTCGTGTTCCCAATGCATTTGTGTGTATGGAAATAAAAGCTATTAGAAGGATTTTGAGCTTTATTCACTTTTTTCAACACTGCTATTATTTTGAACACAACTGTATGTTTAATGATAATTTTTGCTTGGGCTGAAGTGCTGCTCTGACTTAAAAAAGAAACTCAAAGCAAATGGTAGAGCAGTAGCTGATGCATAGCTGTGGTTTGGAAAGCATTGGCAGCCGCTGACACTACAGTTCATGGCCCCCTGTTATATCTAGTAACCAAATGTTTACTAAAACAACATATTGTACTAATAAAACACAGAATACACAACTCCCTTTCTGTATGACATAAAACATGAAGTCAATCAGGCCGCTACATAAGGAGGATATAGATACTCAACAAATGGATCAATAACACTCTAGCAGGAAGGTTTAGGTTAACAAGGATAACATATCAGTTTAGAGAAAAATCATCACTTTATTTTACGTTATTTAGTTCCGGATGGGTCAAAGTACATGTAGTATTTTATCCCATCTACCTAGGTGCGCTAAAATACTAACTGTGATGTTGGATATGGTGCCCCCGCTCTTAGTGCACAGCTAGCAAAGAGATGGCGGCTTTAAAGTGTTACTAAACCCAGGACCCTGCATTCACTATATCTGGTCTCCCCGGTCCCTGCATTCACTCTATCTGGTCTCCCCGGACCCTGCATTTACTGTATCTGGTCTCCCCGAACCCTGCATTCACTCTATCTGGTCTCCCCGGACCCTGCATTTACTGTATCTGGTCTCCCCAGACCCTGTATTTACTATATCTGGTCTCCTCCCCGGACCCTGCATTCACTCTATCTGGTCTCCCCGAACCCTGCATTCACTCTATCTGGTCTCCCCAGACCCTGCATTCACTATATCTGGTCTCCCCGGACCCTGCATTCATTCTATCTGGTCTCCCCAGACCCTGTATTTACTGTATCCGCTCTCCCCAGATCCTGTATTTACTATATCTGGTCTCCCCAGACCCTGCATTCACTATTTCTGGTCTCCCCGGACCCTGCATTCACTATACTTGGTCTCCCCGGACCCTGCATTCACTATACCTGGTCTCCCACAGTCCACACAACATGGAAATGCAATTATTTTAGTAAATATAAACTGCTAAATACCTTTTCTCAGAAGTTAGAGCAGTCTTGTGACTTCTATCAGTGTCCAGCAGAGCACTGGTTAAAGCTTGTAGGAAGAGTTTGCATTCTCCCCTGATTGTCCTATGAGGCTGCAGGACCCCTTACTCTCTGTCTGGACAGAGCTGATTGGCCCTGTGCCAATTATATGCACTCTCCCAAGAAAAAAAACAAACTTTCTAGCAATACACACTAAACTGAGTATGTGCAGCTTTCCCCCAAGGCTCTGTTCTATCAGCAGATGGATTGGGGACAGTAGAAAAAGGGGAGGATCAGAGAAAATAGGATCAAAGATCCTTTTTTCACAATGCAGAGAATTAACTCCTTAGGTTTCACAGTTAATATAACAAGCATGATTTACTGCATATACAGACTGATTTTACTGTTGGGGGTTTAGTAACATTTTAATAGCAAGAAAGGGTCCTTGGTTGAGATGTATCAGCTTCCCATCTTTCTGCATTCCCTTGCTAGTGCTTGCCTCATGCAAGTGCTAGGAGCTGGGAACTAGGGACATGCGCTAAAAAGCAAAACAGCCATTTCATTGCCACTGTGGAGTTAGACAGCCATGCATCAATGGGGTGTCCCCTGTTCAAAATTGCAACTTGTGTTACAGTGGTCCTAGGGTTAATGGGACATGTTCCCCATTTGGAACTCAACAATGTAAAAAAAATGACTATACTTCTGTAGCCTCCCTGATGGTATTCCCGAGTGTAGCTCGGGGTAAAGTTTCAGTACTAAAAGCGGTAACCCCGAGCTACACTCGGGCTTACCATGCGGCGTTGCTCCGGGATCTGTTCTTCACTTACCTTGTCCTGTGCTCCAGCGATATCCCTCCTGCAGTGTCCTCGACAATGTAATCCGGCAGATGCCGGCATCTGTCATCTGGGTTCCGTCCCCTGCGAGCGTCGGGACGTACGGGGGACGGAACTGGCGGGAAATTTGAAAATGACAAAAAGTGACATTCACTCAATACACTAAAATCACATAGTATAACATTCCTGTATCAAACCATTTCACATACATTTCATCCCGAGTGCTTTGTCCGGCGCCCTGCCTGCATTTTTACCGTTCTTTCTGCCTGGAAACTGAGAAATGTCCATGGCGTCCAAAAAGTGTTTTAGACAAACTAGAGAACAGTGATAGTAAATCAGAACCACTTGCAGAATTGAGTGATAATGATTCGTGGGGGAAATTCCTCATCAGACACTGAAAACGATTCTGCGACTTTGCTCAGCGATGTGCGAACTTGGCGCTCTATTTCAAATTTCAGTGTTTTTGGTTTGATTACATTATTGAATTAAATTTATTATTATATTATTATTTTTTATGATTATTTATTAAATTATAATTTATGATTTCGTGTTTCAAATTTTATTCTACCCGGGGTGTTTACTAGACTCTTGTTCGGACAGATTTCAGTGAGTTATTCCTAAAAATTACAGGCCTACAATAAAAAAAAATACATATTTCCATGCAAAAAAATGTACCGCTTTGAGCTCAGAAATATGGACATAATCAGACCGCCAGGGAGGTTAACCTCCCTGGCGGTATGATTATTTCAGATTTTTTGGTGCTGAAAGCGGTACCATTTTTTTGCATGGAAATATGTATTTTTTTTTATTGTAGGCTGTAATTTTTAGGAAAAACTCACTGAAATCTGTCCGAACAAGAGTCTAGTAAACATCCCGGGTATGGTAAAATTTGAAACACAAAATCATAAATTATAATTTAATAAATAATCATAAAAATAATATAAAAATAATAAAAAATTTAATTCAATAATATAATCAAACCAAAAACACTGAAATGTGAAATAGAGCGCCAAGTTCGCACATTGCTGAGCTCAGTCGCAAAATCGTTTTCAGTTTCTGATGACGAATTTCCCCCACGAATCATTATCACTCAATTCTGCAAGTGGTTCTGATTTACTATCGCTGTTCTCTAGCTGATCTAAACCGCTTTTGACCTAAAGGGACACTTTTTGGACGCCATGGACGTTTCTCAGTTTCCAGGCAGAAAGAACAGACAAAATGCAGGCAGGGCGCAGGACAAAGCACTAGGGACAAAATGTATGTGAAATAGGTTGAAACAGCAATGTTTTACTGTGTAAAATGAAAAAAAAAAAAAAAAGACATTTTTTAAAATTTTTAAATTTCCCGCCGCCGGCGGCGCCCGTACGTCCCGACGTCACAGGGACAGGACACAGAAGCCGGATGCCGGCATCGGCCGGAGGAGATGGCCGGGGACGCTGCAGGGGACACATCGTGGGAGCGCAGGGTAAGGTAAGTGAAGAACACATGCCGGAGCAGCGCCGCATGGTATTCCCGAGTGTAGCTCGGGGTTACCACGCTTTTGGTACTGAAATGTTACCCCGAGCTACACTCGGGAATACCGCCAGGGAGGTTAAAGGAACCCATCACTTTGCCAGTTTAGGGCAAAGTGACAAAATCTCCTGAAAGCCCACTGCCAACTTATACACACCCACTTATACCAAATTTCCTTGCTCTTTCCTGCTGCTCTGTTGCTCCATCTGAGCCCTCAAGACATACAAGCACTTCTGGGTATGGGGAACATGTGACCTCCTCCAAGCATGCCTAAGCAGCCAATCCCCAGGCTTGGACACTGTCATGTGAGTGAAGTAAAAACATCAACAACCCTGTGTAAGCTCCAACACCATCCATACAGTTTTGGAGTCCCAGCCTACTGATGAACAAATGGACTGGCTGAGTAGTACAGTAAAGGTGAATATATGTAAGTGAGTCAAGAGTTTGTTTTCAGGAGGTAGAGTCTCCTTAACCAGTTCAAGTCCGGACACTTTCACCCCCTTCCAGTCCAGGCCAATTTTCAGCTTTCAGCGCTATCACACTTTGAATGACAATTGCGCAGTCATGCAACACTGTATACATATGAATTTTATAGCTTTTTTTGAGACAGATAAAACTTTATTTTGGTGGTATTTATTCACCACTGGGATTTTTATTAAAAAAGTCCAAACATTTTGAAAAAAAAAGTGTTTTTCTTATAAAATTTTGCAAATAAATAATCTTTCTTCATAAATCTTATTCAAAATGTATTCATCTATCTTTTTAGCAAAAAAAAATAACCCAAATTAGATTATAACCAAAAAATATAAATAAAAAAAATTATTTTACATTTTTATTTTAATTTTTTATATTATTATTTATGTTTTTTTAACATACTGTCACCCTAGCAGTACAGTATCACCATGGTGACTCTGTGCTACTTGTGGGGGTGATGAAGATTTTTTTTTCTTTTTTTACACTGATTGCTTTTATACCCATAAAGGCTGTAAAAGCAATAATTTCTCCTCTCTGGCTGCATTCTAGCACCCATTGAGAAATACTGTGAGAGCTGTGATTGGTCACAGCTTGTCACATGGTACAAGGCTGTTGTGAATAGCCTTGTACCATGTGACCTCTGTGATCATTCACAGATTTCACAAGTAGTAATGGGTAATGTATTGATGTAGTGCCAAGGGACTAGGTCAGGGAGTTCAGGGAGGCAGAACATGGTGAACCAATGGAGAAGAGGGGGCAGAGGAAGAAATATGGTGGCCAATATTATAGTATCGTGAACAATTCTATTTATTCATTCAGGCCGCCATGTGCCAAACTGTCTAGAGCAGCAATGGGAAAACTACGGCCCGGCGGACCTTTTAATCCGGCCCGCGGAGCGTGATACATTGGCTGTCAGGATGTGTCCGCCCTGAAGACCGGAACGGCGCGGGAACACGGCGAGAGGAACGCGCGGAGCAAAGGTAAGTGAATTGACACAGGGGGGACTTGGCTTACTACTTGGGGGGGGAATAGTACTGTGGGGGATGAAATACTATATGAGGGATGAATTAATATGGGGGATGATTTAATATGGGGAATGAATTACTATAGGGGGGATGAATTACTATAGGGGGGATGAATTACTATATGGGGGATGAATTACTATGGGGGATGAATTACTATATGGGGGATGAATTACTATATGGGGGATGAATTACTATGGGGGATGAATTACTATATGGGGGATGAATTACTATGGGGGATGAATTACTATATGGGGGATGAATTACTATGGGGGATGAATTACTATATGGGGGATGAATTACTATATGGGGGATGAATTACTATGGGGGATGAATTACTATATGGGGGATGAATTACTATATGGGGGATGAATTACTATGGGGGATGAATTACTATAGGGGGGATGAATTACTATATGGGGGATGAATTACTATGGGGGATGAATTACTATGGGGGATGAATTACTATATGGGGGATGAATTACTATGGGGGATGAATTACTATGGGGGATGAATTACTATATGGGGGATTAATTACTATGCTTACTATGGGGGAATATTACTATACTTACTATGGATGACACATACACATCATTCATCTACTCTTGGTCCGGCCCCCGGGTCCAATATATGAACCCATTGCGGCCCTCAAGTCAAAAAGTTTGCCCACCCCTGGTCTAGAGTGTAGGTCCAAAAAGTCTCCTTTTGGCATAGACGCTTAAAACGCTCTGCTTGGGAGGGATCATTGGGACTGGTTTCAATGACCCACACTCTCAGGCTAGCTGAAGACTGGGAATGAAATTCAGAGAAGTGTTTGGGGATGCTCAGTTTGTTTTTCACATCTTCCATTGAGCGCATGTGTTCTCCAAATCTTTGGCGCAATGTTCTAATGGTGCTGCCGACATAGAAAAGTCCACAAGGACAGGATAGGCAGTAAATCAGAAACTCTGAAGAGCAGTTATAAACTTCTCTTCCCTCGTCTCAGATTCCTCTTTTACCCCCAGGATTATCCTTCTCATTCTGTCTAAAAATAACAGACCTTTGTGTCTGAGACTGGACATCAAGCAACACCCACAAATGGCACACTTCCCAATTGCACTATTCTGCATTACATATTGTGAATTTGAGTTAGATCAGGCATATGGTTTTCTATAATTTGGCAGGACAATGAAAAGACAGAGACCTCCTCATTATGCTGCAAGATCCCAGAGTTCATGACAAAGCAGTGAGGAAGATTTAGTAACTTAGGAATTGGGTGGAGTAGAACACAAAGGCACAAAGAGAAATGCACATGGAATGAACTAGTTCTAAAAAAATGGTTTGTTAAACGGAACAACCTACAGATGACTTGACCAGATTTGAACCAAGCCAAGCCTTCACATTAAACATTGCACTCAATGAAAAAAAAAACATGGAATTTTGCCAGAAATGCATCAGGCATTCATTGTGGATAGAGGAAGCGATTTTACTTAAGACAGCTGTGACATCAAAGGGATTTGTTTCAACATTGTGGGGAAGGGTTCCCCCTCCAGTAAAATTTGGAAAGTTCAGCCAAGTCAGTACAATGAGCTGTAGCACAACCTTTTTTTTTTTGTATTGATGCTTAGAAAAAAAGGACCACTTATGGTTCATAAGCTAGTAGAAAGTTGGCAAGCAGGTGTGACTTTAATTTGGTCCTCAGCTTCATGCGTCACCATTTCTTCTGACACAAGTTGATTGGGAATTCATTATCTAGCAATTTACAGGCCAGCTAAGGAGAAACCAACAATTAGTTTTTTAGAAATGAAGAAGAAGGAAGAGACTTGTAAAAGTTAGGGCCATGTCATATTTGCGAACTGTCCCGGATTTGCCAGGAAAAATGTTGTCTTTTATCTCGATGATGTAGCATTCAGGGTTGTGTCCCGAGATCACAGCATCACCCTTTTTTGAGCTAATGAGCATGCATAGTAACTAAAAAAAGGTATTAGCTGATTGGATCGCAACCATGATTGGGCAGTTCCCACCTAAGTAGGGTGAGACTGCCCAGTAAGCTAGTGTGATCTGGGTGGGACTGCCTGGAAGGTGGTCTATGTAGTTTTGACCATGGACCGGGGTGATGATGTTTGGGGTTGTGTCCCAAGATCACAACTAAACCCTTATTTAAGTTACTAAGCCTTCAAAAAAAGATATTAGCTGAGGGAATTGTAGCCGTGATTAGGCAGTTCCCACATAATTATGGTGGGACTGTCCAGAAGGTGAGAGTGGTCCTGGTGGGACTGCTGGAAGATGAGCATGTGAAGTGTTGGCCATAGATTGGGGGTGACAGTGTCCCAGGACTGGGATGAAGATGTTGGTAAGTATGTCATTTCAGATAAGCATTTCTGTAATTGGCGACAACTCACCATCACTTAGGTCCCATTTACACCTCTGCGTCACGTGAACTAGCAGTTTCTTGCGTGTTTTCTCACGACAAGTGTAGGGCAGCCCATTCATTTGAATAGAGGGTCCAACATGCTAAAAAATGCATCAAAGAAGCACCTGTACCATTTTGAGCGTTGATTGTTGCGTTTTTTTTTACCACATGTTTTGGCACTTTTTTACTGTATGTTTTGCAGCTCGCGAAAATATGTGTCAGCTGGCCGCATTTTGGGGTGACAATGACAATTAATGGCACCACAAGCATGATGCACAATTTTCGTGCATTAACTAAATGCACATGAATGGAGCATAAGAGACCAGTTAACTTTTATGATGACCTGGTCTCATATGGTGGTTGGATTACCATTGTTGCTCCCTCGCTAGTGATCTGGATTCTCCAGCATGTCTTTTAGCAGAAGTGGTGACTGCACCTCGTTGACACATTGCCAGTAGCAGCATCCCCAGTTTGAAATGTGACTATGGCATATGGCCATATGAAATGTCAACCTTGAAAAAAACACACACACACTATACTGCCAAAAGTATTGGGATGCCCTCCAAATCATTGGATTCAGGTGTTCCAATCACCTCTATGACCACAGGTGTATAAAATCATCACCTAGGCATGCAGACTGCTTCTACAAACATTGGTGAAAGAATGGGTCGCTCTCAGGAGCTCAGTGAATTCAAGCGTGGTCCCATGATAGGTTGTCACCTGTACAATAAGTCCATCCGTGACATTTCCTGGCTACTAAATATTCCACGGTCAACTGTTAGTGGGATTATAACAAAGTGGAAGCAACTGGGAACAACGGCAACCCAGTCACCAAGTGGTAGGCCACATAAAATGACAGAGTGGGGTGTATTTTTCTCTTGGCATGCATTGCAGATTAGAGAGTGTGCTGTGTGCGTGCCAGTGTGACTGCTGAGCGACTCTATCGCTGCTTCCTAGAAAGTCAGCTGAATTGTATTTGTAGATCTGATGAGAATGCAGAAGGGAAAGCATTACAAATGATGGAGTGGAAAAAAAAGACAGATATAAAGGAAACTGGATAAAGATGTCTATTTGTTGGAAAAACCAAAGCTCAAGAGGGTAGTAAGGCAACCAATGAACAATACTGCCATCCCACCCATAATTCCCCCATGTCCAAAAGTCTATCAGAGACATAACAGAAGGCTTAGCAAAATGCTCCTAAATGGATTTTCCTAGTATATTAGCTAAAGGATTGTGATCCGGAGCAATAAAAATAGTGGTGTGCCTCCATCCCCCAAGCCATATGCCATAAATGTAAGTACACAATTCCTGGGACTTTATTTGAGGCACATCGTATACAAATAATAACATAATAGATACACATGACTACAATTTTATTCCATAAAACTGATAATATATTTTATATATATATATATATATATATGTATATACACTATATTGCTAAAAGTATTGGGCCAGCCCTCCAAATCATGTGATTCAGGTGTTCCAATCACCTCCATGGCCACAGGTGTATAAAAATCAAGCCCCTAGGCGTGCAGACTGCTTCTACAAACATTTGTGAAAGAATGGGTCGCTCTCAGGAGCTCAGTGACTCCAAGTGTGGTCCCGTGATAGGTTGTCACCTGTGCAATAAGTCCATCCGTGACATTTCCTGGCTACTAAATATTCCACCCTCAACTGTTAGTGGTGTTATAACAAAGTGGAAGCAACTGGGAACAACAGCAACTCAGCCACCAAGTGTTAGGCCACGTCACATGACAGAGCGGGGTCAGCGCATGCTGAAGCACACAGTGCGCAGAAGTCGCCTACTGTCTGCAGAGTCAATAGCTAAAGACCTCCAAACTTGGTGTGGCCTTCAGATTAGCACAACAATATTGCGTAGAGAGCTTCATGGAATGGGTTTCCATGGCTGAGCAGCTGCATCCAAGCCTTACATCACCAAGTACAATGCAAAGCATCGAATGCAGTGGTGTAAAGCACACCGCCACTGGATCTAGAGCAGTGGCTTACCTGTAGGTAAAAGGCCAGAAACAAGTTTACTGTCACTTAACACCGAATGGCCATATATACTGTATGCGCCCATAGCACAGTAACCAAAATGACACATAAAGCTCCTGATGCATACTTGTGATAGAGAGCTTCAGAACACATGACTGCTGTGACAGCCAATCAAATGATCTGAATGCCTGCTTCTGCCTCCCATCATATAAACCCTCTTAAAGGGCCAGGAGGGGAGGGGACGGAAGAGGATGTGTCGGTGGGAAGGGGTTAAAAAGGGCCCTCCAGTATTATTAAAAGTCTGTTTCAATACATTTCTGAAATGTCATAATATATAGAGACAATATAATTTTGACCTCATTGATCATTAGAAGCTGTCCTTGATCTCCAGGCAGGGACATCAATCTGCTGCAGGCAGGAGGAAGCATTTCCTCAGTCTCCTCCTCTCCAGTGATCAGACTGCAACATTGTAACTTTGTATCACAAGGCAGCAACGGGGGGCTGATCTGTTAGGTAAAGCCCACATGTGATGCTGCTCTGCCCCTTCCTGCCTTCCATGCCTTCTATTGGTTTTATCTAATGATGGGCACCCTAACTGACTAACAGACTCCAGAAGTGGGCGGGGCCAAGCTTAACTATTGCAGTAAAAGGGTATATAACCTCAGCTGCCTATATCTCTGGATCAGCCAATGAATTTGACATTCAGTGAATTGCTTACTCTCATTTCACTGCACACTGTGAGCTTCTCACAATGTGCATTAACATCCAATAGAACCCGCCTCATTTCCTTTCATTCATCCAGCATCCTTAAAGTCAAAGTAAGCTCCATTTTTTTTAAAATAAAGCTTACCTGTAGGTAAAATTAATATCTCCTAAACATGCACCATTCTCTCTTTTTTTAAAGCCAGCACATGCACTCTGATTGAACAGCATGTCCATGCTGCTCCTTCAAAGCTGTGTGCTGAGGCCCGGGACCACCATGCGCATCCGTGGGAGTGATGTCATCACGGTCCAGCCTATCAGATGGCTGGAGCTCACAAACCTGGAAGGAAGACCTGGTATGTGATGCATACTAGCACATTATGACACTACCTTGCAGGGAACTTTTTTTTTATCCTGCGGTTTACCACCGCTTTAAGCGGTTTCCTCCCCAGCTCGGCTGTCACTGACCCCACCCCTTTCATTTATTGGATTTCAGTTCTTTCAATCATGGAGACTCAGCATCACACGTGGGCATTACCAAAGCCAGTCTGCTGTTTTAAGGAAGCTATGTACAGCCCTTTCCACCAGCCTTGATCTGCATTGCATAGGGAAGCACAGATGACATCACTGGGTCTAAAATAAATTATGTAATGAAAACAGTTTTATTTAACCTCCTTAGCGGTATTCCTGAGTGTAGCTCGGGGTAAAATTTGAGTACCAAGAGCGGTAACCCCAAGCTACACTCGGGCTTACCATGCGGCGCTGCTCAGGGGGTCCCTGCAGCACTTACCTTGTCCTTCGCTCCTGCGATGTGTCCCCTGCAGCATCCCCGGCCATCTCCTCCGGCCGATGCCGGCATCCGGCTTCCGTGTTCTGGTCCCTGTGACGTCGGGATGTATGGGCGCCGTTACCGGCGGGAGATTTGAAATTTTTAAAAAAATGGCATTTTTGCTGTCATTGCTGTTTCAATGCATTTCACATATATTTTGTCCCTACTGCTTTGTCCTGTGCCCTGCCTGCATTTTGACTGTTCTTTCTGCCTGGAAACTTAGAAAAGTCCATGACATCCAAAAAGCGTCCCTTTACGTCAAAAGTGGTTTTAGACCGGCTAGAGAACAGCGATAGTAAATCAGAACCACTTGCAGAATTGAGTGATAATGATTCGTGGGGGAAATTCGTCATCAAACACTGAAAACGATTTTGCGACTTTGCTCAGTGTGATGTGCAAATTTGCCTCTGTATTTCAAATTTCAGTGTTTTTGGTTTGATTATATTATTGAATTAAATGTATTATTATTATATTATTATTTTTTATGATTATTCATTAAATTATAATTTATGATTTCTTGTTTCAAGTTTTATCATATCCGGAATGTTTACTAGACTCTTGTTCGGACAGATTTCAGTGAGTTATTCCTAAAAATTACAGCCTACAATAAAAAAACTACATATTTCCATGCAAAAAAATGGTACCGCTTTCAGCACAAAAAATCGGAAAGAATCATACCGCCGAGGAGGTTAAGCGGTTTCCTCCCCCCCAGCTGACCCCACCCCTTTCATTTATTGGATTTCAGTTCTTTCAATCATGGAGACTCAGCATCACACGTGGGCATTACCCAAGCCAGTCCGCTGTTTTAAGGAAGCTATGTACAGCCCTTCCCACCAGCCTTGATCTGCCTGCATTGCATAGGGAAGCACAGATGACATCACTGGGTCTAAAATAAATTATGTAATGAAAACAGAACAGTTTTATTTAAAGATGTTATCAGCATGTTGATGCGGTGGGGGATGAACCCAGGATAGCAAAATACAAGCAGATTAAAGTTCAGCTTTAATGAAATTCCCCTTTAAATGCAGTTGGTCTGAAGGGATACAAAGGATATATTATACATTCTCCAAAGTGAATTGTTGTGCTTTGTTTTTAGTCCACCGAACACACATTTACTGTTCCTTACTTGAATACATTTGTAAGGATACACTCGGCTTATTGTTGGTTATTCATATTTATAGATTCAGCTTTGGAGGCATTTAAGGTCCTTCCCCATTATATATTCTCATTAGACCTACATCAGTCGTTTGGAGCCCACTGAAAACATTCCCCTGAATGGCAAAACTGTGAAACCAGAACAGCGATAAAATGTAGAATAAGGATCTGTAATAGAGGTTAGGGCAGCACACTGTAGGAAGGACATAGGAATTTCTATAAAAGGGATGGGGATCTCACTTACAGGGAAAGGTCAGAAAAACTTGACTTGTTTAGTTTGGAAATAGAAGCTTTAGATGTGGTCTGATTAATATGTATAAGGTCTGTAAATGTTTTCAGTCGCCCACTAATACTTGTCCAAGGTCAGCATCAGGATATAGCAAATTAGCTTTTTATCCCATAGACCAGTGGTGGTCAACTTGTTGGATATCTGGAGCCTCCGTTGTGGCCCATGACGTCACCAAAGGGCCACACATAATGTTCAGTGCATCTAATGCTACAGAAATTGGTTGTAAACAGATGGTCAGAGACTGCGGGCATCCTACTGGAGATTTTCAGACACTACAGACATACTAAATGTAAAAAAGGGATATGCAAAAGAAAGCTTATGGGACCACAGCTATATGTAGCTCTACCTTCGTAAGGGCTTCTAGATTTGATTGGGTCCCCCTATGCTTTGCATGACCAAACAACACATACTTTTCACAATTTCAGAATCGGTAAAACAGTCCTTGAACTGGTTTTTAGTTGTTTTTATTAAGGTTTTAACAACTTGGATAGGGTCTAGGGGTATATGGGATGCCCAAGGAACTGTAGAACTTGAGGACAAACTTCTCAGCAACTATGTCCAGAAAGGGTGACTGACAAAATAAATCAAATATTGCGATGTCCCTTTTTTTGGTGTCTTCAGACCCCGGTTAAATCCGCTTCTTCACCCAGCAGTGCTGAGGGTATCCTTGAGCAAGGGGGTCTCTAGAGCTTGCAGTCAAGCTGTCCCAGGTAAAGATTAGTTGGGTATTGCACCTGACCTCTCTCTCCCCTTATAAGGGGGTGTAGAAGTACTCATATTGTCCTGTCCTGTCAGTGTGGTGGGTTGGTAGCTGCTTTCAGGCCTTTTGCTGGGCTGGCTCCTTCCTTGCTAAAAGGTTGTCCTCCCAAGAAGACATTGAGGCAGTAGAGATCCTCCCATCCAGCATGCTACCTATAGGCAGGCTCCTCTCCCTGGGGCCCCCTCCCAGGCTCCACACTCCAGTCTTCCTTTAGCCCATCGTCCACCCGATTGCCCTTTTTCCCAAGGCTCTGTCATGTTTGAGGGTTGCCCTGGTCACCAAACCCAGCCTCCTGCCAGGGGATTGGACAAGTTTCTGGAGAGGTCAGGGCTTCAAAAGCTCTGTATCAAAGGTAGGCTGCAAATATAGACAGGCAAGGATTATCCAGAAGCAGGTCAGATGAATATATTTCCAATAACAGGGTCAAGCAGGTTCAGGATCAGGGAAAACAAAAACTCAAGCTCAGTAATAATCTCATGCAGAATCCAGGTTTAAATAGGTCATTAGGTGCTGGTATTTGTGGTGGACGTGCCAGTGCATCCACATCCATGTGCATCAGCCATATGGCTGTCATGATCTTTGACATGTTCCTGACACTGGGCAAGCTCAGGACTTCCTTTAATCTTAGCTTGAATGTTTAAGTGTAACTCCAACCAAGAGAATGATTAAATCCTATATCAAGTCCAAAATACTAAGATATTGAAAATAGAACTTTAAGAGTTGATAGTTGGCATCAATCTTATGCAGGGTCCAAATGGACTTAGTGGATTATATAGCCTACCAGCAGACTGCTATGACGGAGTTGTAGATAGCAAGAAATAATCCAGCATATACTGATTGATTGTAGAACTGCCCCAACTCTGAATAAGGAGCATAGGCTACACCAAAACAGATGACAAAAAGGTGGCTCCATGGTATATTGCAAAGAAAAAAAACCTAATAATAGAACATTAGAAGTCCTAAAGTTTTCACTGTTATGATTAGTGGCACTCAGATGGCATGATTAAACAAAGAGAAGTGTAGTAAGTCATATCTTGGAGGACAGCCAGTGTCACTGTTATGGTTA